TTCAACAATTGCAGATCCACCATTCCTGTTTTTGTGTAAATTAGTGTTGTGGATGTCATAGTAGACACTGAGTATTTATTTGAATGCTGTCTGTTGTTCACTGCTATTATTGCTTTGGTTTGTTTCTGCCTTTTCTGTGAGGTTCTGAGAATGTTCTAGGACACTGTGACTTCATAAAGTAGAGACTCTGCTAGTGAGTTACAACCAAAATCCAGCCAAGAGACAGCACACCTTGCTTCACACACAAACTATGCTCAAACTTCAGTGATACGAAGAATAGGGGAGAAAAACTCCAAACCACATGACCAAGTCCCACTCATAGACATCCACCCCTAAAAAAAAAAACAGAATTAACGCAAAAACACCCCACCTATGAAAAGTTTCAATCTATGTCGTTCCCGTACCCTTTAAAAACATATAGAGCAATTAAACAAAGAAGAGCAATCCTAGAGGTTGTATTCCACATGGCCTATTATATACAATACAAATTCTGGATCAACAAGAAGGACCTCACTCTTTTGAGACCTACAGGGAAAATGGGATCCTCAAGCTCTGATATAATATACATTGTATCAAAATCCATTAATCTTCACCAAAGAACTGTCAGGCAAATTACACTACAAAACCAAATTGGAAATACATTGAAAATTTCACAACAACTTAGTATCCCAAAACACTTTGTCAAGAGAAGGCTGTGCCCTAAAAATGCCGATACATAAGAATGGAAGAGAAATCTATCACAACAGATGCACAAAAACCAACACAGGAATACAAGAAATATGAAAAGCAAGGTAACATGACACTTCCTAAGATTCATAGCTCATCAAAAACTGACCCCAAAGATACTGAAGTCAATAAAATACCAGAGAAAGATTTCAAAAGAATTATTATAAAAATGATCAATGAATTCCAAAAGAACACACACAAAAAAATTGAATTTGTAAAGGAAGTCATATAAGATATGAATGAGAAATTTAGTAAGGAAGAATTTATAACTGCTAAGCCAGCAATATGGAAAATACTTATATATTCACACAGAAAAATCAAAAACAACTCCAGAGCTCACAAATGGGCAAATCACATTGGAAGAATACTTAAGCAAATGAGAAACAGAACCAAATTAAACAGCAGAAATAAATAAAAATGACAGTAATTAATAACTATCTCTCTGTGATAGCACTAAATGTAATTGGTCAACTCTCCAATTAAAAGACAGGCTAGCAGAATGGATTAAAAAATAAGATGCAACTATATGCTGTTTGCAAGAAGCTCATCTTATAGACAAGGACAACCACAGCCACAGACTGAAATTGAAAGGATAGAAATTGACATATAATTCAAATGAAGCCCCCAAACAAGCAGAGGTAGCTACTCTCATATCCAACACAGCAGATTTCAAGCCAAAATTAATCAGAAAAGACAATGAAGGTCACTTCTTACAGGTAAAKGGAGCAATCCAACAAGAAGATATAATGATAGTATATACTTATGGCCCCAATATTGGTGCATCTAATTACATAAAACAGACACTACTTGACTTAAAGACTCAGATAAATCCCATCACAATAATATTAGTCATTTCAACACACCTCTCTGAACAATAGATAGGTCATCTAGACATAAACTCAGCAAAGCCTCTTCTGACCTAAAGCATATTATAAATCAAATGGACTTAACAGGCATCTATTGAATATTTTATCCAACAATAGCTGGGTTTACTTTCTTCTCAGCTACTCATGAAATCTTTTCTAAAATAGATTATATTTTAGGCCATAAAGCAACTCTTAGCAAATAAAAAAATAAATCTGTATAATTCTTTCATCTTACATGAATATGTTGGAATAAAATTAGAAATCAACACTAAAAACAAACCCACAGTAACTACATAAACCCATGGAGATTAAACAAGACACTTTGGAATGATAAATAGATGATAGAAGAAATCAGGGGAGAAATTTTTAGAATTCTTAGAATTAAAAGAGAATACAGATGCAATATCAAAGAACCTTTGCAATACTATAAAGGCAGTTCTAAGAGGAAAGTTTATAGCTATTAGTGCCTACATTAGAAAATCAGAAAGATCACAATAAAGAACCCAATGATGCATTCTCAAGGCCCTGGAATAATTTAATTTAATAATTAATATTAATTTAATAATTTAATTCCAAAAACAGTAAAAGGAATAATTAAATAATTAAAATCAGAGCCAAGAGCCAGGTACCCTGGTGCACACCTGTAATCCCAACAGCTCAGGAGGCTGAGGCAGGAGAATTGCAAATTTGAGGCCAACCTCAGCAATTTAGCAAGAACATAAGCAACTTAGTGAGACCCTGTCTCAAAAATAAAAATTAAAAAGGGCTGGGGGTCTAGCTCCATGTTAAAGCACCCCAGGGTTCAATCCCCAGTACCAAATAAGTTAATTAATTAAACAAAATCAGAGATGAAATTAATTAAATAGAGAATAATAATTTTAAAAATTCAAAGGATCAATGAAACAAAGAGGTGGTTCTTTGAAAAGATAAGCAAGATAGATAAACCCTTAGCCAAACTGCTAACACAAAAACAGAGAAAGCCCAAATTAATAAAATCAGAGATTAAAAAAAGGAAAAATCGTCACAAACATGTACTGAAGAAAGAACAGATTTGTTAACAACAACAAAAAAGGGTACTGAGAATAGGGATTATTGATTATCTGTATGTAGAAGAATGAGACTAGATCCCTATCTCTCACCCTGCACGAAAATCAACTCAAAATGTTTCAAAGACCTAGGAATTAGATGAAAAACTTTGCAACTCCTCAAAGAAAACATAGGGTCAACACTCCAACATACAGGCACAGGCAATGGCTTCCTCAATAAGACTCCTAAAGCTCAGGAAATAATACCAAGAATTAACAAGTCAGATGACATCGAATTTAAAAACTACACAACAAAAGAAATGATTAAGAATGTGAAGAGAGACCCTAGAAAATGGAAGAAAATCTCTAATATCTACTTAATATCCAGAATATATAAAAAACTTACCACTGAAGCCTCAAATAACCTAATTAATAATTGAACAAACTAAACAGACAATTCTCAAAAGGAGAAATAACAAATAGCCAACAAATATATGAAAAATGTTCAAAAATATTTAGCAATTAAGGAACTGTAAATCAAAATTACACTGAGACTTCATCTCATTCTAGTCAAAATGGCCGTCATCAAGAATACAAACAATAATAAATGCTGCAATAAACATTGATGTGGCTGTGTCCCTGGAGTATGCTGTTTTTAAGTCCTTTGGGTATAGACTGAGGAGTGAGATAGCCGAGTCAAAAGGTGGTTCCATTCCAAGTTTTTCAAGAAATCTCCATGCTGATTTCCAGTCCCACCAGCAGTGTATGAATGTGCCTTTTTCCCCACATCCTCGCCCACACTTATTATTGTTTGTATTCTTCATAGCCGCCATTCTGACTGGAGTGAGATGAAATCTTAAGAGTAGTTTTGATTTGCATTTCTCTAATTGCTAGAGATGTTGAACATTTTTTTCATATATTTGTTGATTGATTATATATCCTCTTCTGAGAAGTGTCTATTCAGTTCCTTGGCTTATTTATTGATTGGGTTATTTAAATTTTTGGTGTTTAGCTTTTTGAGTTCTTTATATACTCTAGAGATTAGTGCTCTATCTATGAGGTGCAAGTGGTAAAAATTTGCTCCCAAGCTGCACAATTCACAATAGCTAAACTGTGGAACCAACCAAGATGCCCTTCAGTAGATGAATGGATAAAGAAAATATGGTATATATACACAATTAAATATTACTCAGCAAAAAAAGAGAATAGAATCATGGCATTTGCAGATAAATGGATGGAGTTGGAGAATATAATGCTAAGTGAAGTTAGCCAATCCCAAAATACCAAATGTGGGATGTTTTCTCTGATATAGTGGGGTTGGAAGGAGGAGCATGGGAGGATTAGACAAATTCTAGGTAGAGTAAAAGAGAGGGAAGGAAACGGAGGGGACCAGGGGATAAAAAAGATGGTGGAATGAGATGGACATCATTACCCTAAGTACATGTATGAAGACATGAATGGTGTGAATGTACTTTCTATACAACCAGAGATATGGAATTGTGTTCTATATGTGTAATATGAATTGTGATACATTCTGCTGTCATATATAACAAATTAGAATTTAAAAAAATAATAAATGCTGGAGAGGATGTAGGAGAAAAGTTGGTGGGATTCTTCATTAGTACAACCACTGTGGAAATCAGTACGGAGTTACCTAAAATAACTAAGAATGGAGCCGTCATTCCTGGTGACCCAGCTTTACCACTCCTCAGCATTTACTCTGAAGTCATCATGCGAGAGTGGTACATGTACACCCATGTGTATAGGGGTACAATTCACAATAATCAAACTATGGAACCAGCCTACGTGCCTGTCAATGGATGAAAAGATAAAGAAAATGTGTTATATAAACCCAACAGAGTTTTATCAGCCATTAAGTCTTATTCAGCCAATAACCAGTAATTGCAAGAAAATAGAGAAAGGAAGTCAAAGGTTGTATGTTTTCTCTCATGGGTGGAAGCTAGACAGGATAAGGGAAAGAAAGGTGGGAGGAATTTCATAAGAAGAAAAGAAAGATCAGTAAGTAGAGGAAAGAGACCACAGGGAAAGAGGAGAGGAGGAAAAGGGGAAATACTGGGGAACAGAATTGGCCAAATTACATTGTTATATCACATGCATGTGCAAACATGTAACTACAAACTCCACTGTTGCTTACCATGCACCAATAAAAAATATGGGAAAAGGAAAAACAGCAAATATTCATTGAACATCTTCTATTGTTATGAATAGCTACAGGTCCTTTTTGGTAGACATATAAAGTTTGACATGAGTAGAAGTTGTGCTCATTTACTTACAAAGGATAATCTTCTAATTTTTCTCCCTACCCCCCCCCACCTCTCTCTCTCTCTCTCTCTCTCTCTCTCTCTCTYTTCTTTGCCTACAGATTTACTTTGCACCAATGACAGGCTGTCAGCCAGTTTCTGCCAGACACTGAAGGGCATGAAGAAATGTTCTGTGCCCACCATCAGGGCTCAGTGCTGCGTCTCATGCCCCCAGGCACACGTCCAGACCCAGAGACAAAGAAGGCAACAGTCACTCAAAAAGCACTTCTAAGTCCAGAAGGAAGCCACCCTCCACCCTAGACTGCAGCAACCTGCTGACCGGGACATATTTGGGTCCTGGGGGCCACGTCATTGAGGTTTTGCTTTGCACATTTCAGGTTCAACTTTGGGTCATAACAAAACAAAACAACTATGTTCTTCTAGCCACAGAATGTCCCTCACAGGAAGCCTGGGACTTTCACCCTTGGTGCTCCCTGATAGGAAGGTAAAATATCTAGGAGAACCCCACATCACCTGGGATCAGCTCCTACAAAAGGTGAAAGATTAGGCAGGTGTGTGAAATGATGTTGTTTTTTCCCCCCCTTAAAGATGAAAACAGACCAGGTTTTTCCCAGTCTACCTCAAAAGTGTCAGGAAAAAGAGCCATAATTACCCAGGGAACAAAGAATCTTTTAAATTCACCTTGAAGAATATATTTTCTCCCCGCCACCTGCCAGGGGCAGCTGCTGTTTAAAAGGTCATGGGGAGCTTTGAGGAACATTCCTTTCATGCATCCGTCCAGGAGAGAACAGCTTTCTTTGCCCAGTGTTCCTGAGGACAGGAGGAGAGTGTGCTGACCGCATCCCTCAATCTACCCCTCAATCCCTGTAGGACTCCATAGCTGGACTGTTTAGTGTCCTGTGCCAGTCCTAAGACCCTAGACTACGAGGACACAGAGATCAGCTTCAGCCTAAGGAATTTAGGCTGGTCACACAAACACATTCCCAACTTGAGGACAATTTCTATGCAAAATCTTGAAAAGCCAATGAACTGATGTCCGTCTTTCTAGCAAAAGACAGGAAATGTGAGCCCTTCATTCCTCCCACGCTCCTGGCATGTACCCATCCCTTCACAGAACAGCAAGTGAGGTTCCCTGCCTCATTGGTTCTTCCTGGTGCCTGCCTGTGTCACAAGCTCAGGTCCCAATATTGTCTTGGTGTACAAAGATCACTACAACCAGCATGAGGCTGCCACTTACCCTCACCTCCCCTAGGGCAGGAAAAAGAACCCTGCCTGACAGTATTTCAAAAAACCAAGTAAATCGTATTAAGTACAAGAAATTAGTGCAAACTTTCCCCCCTTAAGTTGAAAGGGGGGAAAACTGTTCAAAGTGATGTAATGATTATCTGTGCCTCAGTGTACCCATAAGTTTATTTTTAAAGGTCTTTTACTGCTAGGGATGTAGCTCAGAGGACTTAGCATACAGGAGGTCCTGAGTTTGATCCTCAGCAGTTTCCCCCAAAAAAAAAATAGAATTGAAAATACCGATATTTACCTTGTGGGTAGGGGCAAGTCAGGAGAGTCCAAAAAACTGAAATGAAAGTTAAAGTTCTTATTCTGGATGTTCCTACCTCCCATCAGGTGTGATCAGAAGACAATAGGCTGTGATCTTGAATCCAGAGCATAAACCAATTTCAGGAACTTGGAAAGAAGGAAGGTGGAAGGAGGAGTATAAGCCCCAAGAGAAGAAGACCTCAGAACCAATTCTTGATATGGGGAAGGAGTGGCCTTCATGTAAAGGGCAGTATATTTTCAGACTCATGCACAGATACACTTAATCATGAGACACAAGTCCCCTATCTCTCTTTAGTTATCTGTCCATTCAGCAGAATGGTGCTATTGAAAAATGGTGCTAATATCTAGATGGTGGCAGAACTAATATAAATAAATAGTCGTACAAACGGATAGGAGTATGTGAGACTTCCACAAGGACATCTTCTGATAAGTGTGGAATGGGTGTTGCTGGTCAATGCCAATTCTATTGCTTAGATACCATGAACTTCACAGTTTATACTATTTGCTTTTTACTTTTCTTCAAGCCATTAGTGTATATTATTCTGATAAACYCCTGTGGAAAATAAAACACTATACTTGGGATGAAATTCAGGATAGAACAGAACCAGGAGGAAAGTAAAAGTGTTTTCCTAAAGCCAAGGAATTTATTTCTAGGTAAATACTATGTTCTTGTATTCTCTGTCTTTTAAACATTTTAAACATTGCTGGTCGATGACAGTCTCTGGTGAAATAAGAATTTTGAGAGAAGACACTTAAATTGTTAATGATATGAGTGGAGGATAATCTGATTTTTCCTAATGAGGCAATTCACGAAAACTGTCCCTGAAGTGTATTATAGGTTTTTAAGGGAATTAATTTAGTAAGCCATATTGAGTTTAACTCAGTCTGATACTGTAATATCATAGCATCAGATACTTGTCATCAGAGACCTGGGTATGACCAAGTTTGTAAACCTCAGGAACAAACCCAGATTCCTACTGACTTCATCAAATCAAACGAGGTCAGATTTCCCAAAACACAAAAAGGACCATGTCATTTATGACCCATGTGTGAACAAGATGGTAGACATGTGCATGGGTAGGGGGTCTGGCCAGGTGCTCTCTTCTAGATCTTTCTTCAGTTTCTCAAGGGCAGAAATTTGGCCCCTGGTCCTGAATCTTGGACATTCACTTCCTGTACTGAGGCTGCGTGGTGGGACAGTTGTGTGTCATGCATCATGTGTCCTTGCCATGAGTTATTCTCAGTCACTCAGCTACGGGTGGTCAGCCATGAGCGTTCTGCAGGCAGATCCCTGTGCTTGCAGTAGTAAAGGGGCCTTAGATCAACTGGAAGACTCTGAAGGCAAGAATCTGGATGGTGTCTTTGTTTCTTTGATGCCCACAGGGGCCAACACAAAGCAGAATTATTGTTTTACTTCATCCAGATCCTCCTTTCTCCCCACCTTGGACGAGCAGGTGAGAAGTATGCCAAGAGACACTGGAAACATTATCTAACCCAAGAGGGCTACTACAGGGCGTGGTGCATAAATACATTAGGATTCTAAAATACAGTTTGGTTTACATTGCCTTTCACAGTGATAGAGTTAGCTCTTCCCTAAAAAGTTGTGGATCAATTTAATTCTTGAACACCAAAATATAAGTACATCACGAAAGAACAATATTCTAAGAAACTTTCTTAAAGTCAGAAAATCGCTTCATGGTACAAGGATTTCCCTCCTCGTGAAGGGATGCTCTGTTTTTGAAAGCTTTTCTTAAACAAGAGTGCATTATCATCCCATTTCCAGAGACAGCCAAGTCTATACTAGCATCCAGTGAGATGCTCTCTGACAGTCAAGGGGATGTTTTTGATACCCTCCATTAAGTAACACAGTCTGAGGGATTATATTATTTTAGACCATGGAATTGATTATAATCCTCCAAACTCTGAAAGTTACAAATTGCTACCCCAGAGAGTATAGGTCTCAGCTTTATCCTTTGTGACTTGATGATGAAGCTCTGAGAAAGCTTATCTGGTGCTCAATCCACAGTGATTCACTTTCCCAGGAGAGACCACAGGACATGAACTTCCTGGTGCTATAACCTAGCCAGCATATTTCTTGCTGTTTATATTGCTACTTTGAGTATTAAGTTATGTCATTAAAAATAACATGGTGGGAAAGCACATTTCTACTTATCATTGTCCTTCAAAGTAGTTGCATGACACCCATGACCCAACCTGTTGCTCTCCCTGTGTCTCTAAGCTGCCTCACCAGCCCTCTGTCTTGGCCTCCCTGAGGGGTACTTTGGTGGGGGCTTCAGTATTTAAAGTCAGACTGTAATCATAGCCTGCCTTTGTGTGGCATCAATAAATGATCAAACTCATTGGTGTTTCCATGTGATTCATTTCCCCCTACTGCAAGACTCCCATCACTCACCTTGGAGCTTAGCAACCCAGAGGAGGATGCTATCAATTTCTCCCTTCCTTTCAGAATTTCTTCTACCACAGCCCAGATGAGTCATATCCCAGGTGAAGTAGGACTTAGGTCTCCTCTCATGAATGTGCAACAACTGACAGTCTTTTATATGACAATCTGAAGCAATGCCTACAATTCCCCATAATACTGATTCTAAGTTTTCAGACATGCAGTTCCTAGAATAACCTATTCTCCCATCTATCCTAAGTATAGACATAATGTTTAAGAGAAAATAACTCACACCTCTAGAGAAATTTGCTTTGGGAGCCTGATCATTTTTCAAACACAGTACACCAGTAAAGGCAGAATTTGTAAGTACAGAGATGGAATTCCCTCGGCATATAGAATTAAGTAATAGAATTGAGAGACAGAGGTGCTGGCTGGATCATGTAGCTGATTCATAGAATGCTTGAGAATATGAATGGGGTGGTAGGAAACCTATTTTAAGTCAAGCAGGCATCACAGAGGTTATGAGTACCTCCTGTTTGCACTGTAAAAATGATTCGATGACCATTAATCAGGGGTGAATTTGTTCTTCAGAAGGTATTTGACCAAGTCTGGAATGCTTTGAATTCTCACAACTGGAGATGGGGGAGAGAGTGCTACTGGCCTCTAGTGAGTACAGAGGCCAAGGATGCCACTGTGTGTTCTACAGGACAACATCCAGACCGTTACCTGGCTCAGAATATCAGTGGTTCTGAAACTGAAAAACCCCCATCCTAAAAAAAATTATCACTACAAGTAGCAGGGGTACTGGGTTGAGTAACTGAGCTTAACCTAAAATTTAAACCTCAAAAAAGAACTTGAGATGTAGTCAGAAAAGCTCAAAAGAAGGGGGRAAATGCACAGAATTCAAGACCCACTGGCTCAGTAAAAGCCTCCTTGAGGGGAGGCATGATAGTGACATGGCTCCCAAGTCTTAGGCTGGCTGCTRGGGACTCCRGTGTTCTCATCCTTAGATTTAGGGCAATAAATGAAAAGCAAGAAAAATGGAAACGTAATATGTTATAGGTTTGGATTCATCATCCACTTCCAACTGAGGTTTCAAATTAGACTAAGAGTAGACATAAAGTTGATCAAAATATCAACTTTATTGGGCTGGGGCTAGGGTTCAGTGGTAGAGCACTCACCTAAYRTGTGAGGCACTGGGTTTGATCCTCAGCACCACATAAAAATAAATTTAAAAAAATAAAGGTATTATGTTCATCTGCAACTAAAAAAAAKATTTTTTTAAAATATCAGCTTTACTAATGGTGACACAGGCTTGGGGAGTATGTCTTGGATGTAAATGGAAGAGGGTTTCCTACCTTTATGTCTTATCCCCCCACCTCCACCATGGCAGACAGCAGGGAGACTGTAGGCCTACGGGGGAGGGGG